TTACAGTTAGATGTGCAAGCCGTACAGCTGACGATCACTTTTTTTTAATTTTTGGTTGTCAAAATCGTCGTCGGCATGTTTGACCCATCGACTTACATCTCTAATTATGATCGTTCTTTGAAAAATATATAGAAAACTCTAGTTTTAATTGGAAATGCATGAATTCAAATAATCGAACTTATTAATATGACAAGAAAGATTTTAAACAAAAAACGATATTTATTATTTTTTAGAATCAACATCTAGTCGTCAAGTATTTAAGACAAATCAATTACCACCATTTACAATATCTGAATTTAAATATTCTCCAATGCATATTCGTCTATTACATAGTGTTTTTGATTCAATCGAAGTTGATATTCGTTTATGGAGATCGTAAGTATTTGAAATTTAAGGCTTCGCCTGAAAAACAAAGTCACTTTTCACTGGAAGCATCCACATTGAGATAAATTCATAGAGGAATAGCCCATCATCTGCTCTCTCATATGCAATTTTTGCACCATTAAACTTTCGATCTCTGCTTTTTCTCTTAAAAAGTAAGAGTTTAAAAAAAAGAATACTAACCTGAAATGAATTTTTTGAGAGAAGGTCTTACGCGTTTAATATCATCCAATATTTTTTTTAGTTCTAGTGATTCAACTAAATCAATAACTGACGCAATAAATAATCCAGATAATCAAATATTTTGTGCTAATGTTATACATATAATATCTTAAATGGCCGATGTCTTATGTAATGCATGTGGTGGCCTTTTACCTTTTACTTGCAAGTGCAACATCAGCATCTGTATGTATTAATATGATATTTGTTTTTGTATTATCTTATTTAGCATGAAATTGAATTATTAGAAAATACGGAAGGTTTATCACCTAAAGATGCATTAAAAATTTTAAAACATGTTATGAGTTTATCAGATTTATTTATACTTGCAAATACGGGAAAATTTTCTGAACTTGAACAAGAAAAAAGTATGCCAAATGGTGAAATATTACGACAATGTCTTCGTTTATGTATGTGAAATTCTTTCTTGTTTTTATTTAACAAAAAAATATTTGAATATTTCCTTTTTTTTGTTATAAACAATGACAACTGCTGTATGTCTTTGTATGGAATGTCGTTTTCAAAAATTTGATTCATCAAAATTATCAAATTCAACA